ATTGTTTGTGTTTTAATAAGAGTATTAACATCCATAATCATTTGATCATGTTTTAACCAATTTATCTGAATCACTTCTGGGATTGAACATATATGACATTTTACTATAACTGTGTCATGAACATCACTTGTCATTCTATCATTTAATATCATTACACGAGGAGAATCTATTATAACAGATCATACAAATAATTAATTATCAACGAATTTTTTCTTCTTCATTATAAGTTATGTAATACAAGGAAAAAAAAAGCGAGCTAAAAGATTATCATAATTGAATGTTATCCCATCGGAAAGACAGTCTAATTGAGTAGTGTGACCCACAATGGACGGAAATACTTTCACAATCGATTGAGTTACTTCTTCTTACAAATTTCTCATGCAAACAAAATTTTTCTTTAAAAAAAAAAGAAAAACTTACATTGAATAGTAACATAAAATGAACGACTAATTGATGCATGAAAATTATTTGAAGCAATGCATTCATATGAACCACTGTCTGATGATTGAAGTGATGATATATAAACATCTTCTCCATAATGAATTGCTAAAAAACAAAACTCTCTCTCTCGTTTTTTTTTAATTCAATTATTATTATTAATTTGAATAATTTACTTTTTGATTGTTTTTTTTTATCTCGATAAATCCAAGTTATATTTGCTGAAGGAACAGCGTAAGCACGACAAGATAAATTCATTGATGAACCTTCAGAATATGAAATACTTCCTTCAACTGGAGAATATGAAATAAATCGTGGTGGTACTATTAAAATAAAACAAAACAATTCATATTCACACATATAAATACTCTCAATTATATTGAAAGCGAAATTTTTTTTTTTTTCATCAAATATAAAGCAATAAACTTAACACATGTGAATAAAAAACAAAATCCTGAAGATATATATCTATATGGTTATCTTATTTAAATGTATATTTAAGTAATATAATCTAGTTTGTTTTTTTCCTGTTGAACATATATTGATGCAGACAAAAATGATTAACACATCATCAACGTAAGTTATATATTTCATGTGTGTGTGTGTGTAAAAGGTCAAGACATGAGCAGTATTCTTTTTATCTCTCTTCTCCTCCGTATCGATCACCATACGGACGCGTCATTAACGCTAATTTATCGAGATGCCTGTCAAGATTACAAACGAGAAAGAACCTCCTGCAATTAGCACAATGAGATTATACATACATACAATATGCAATCATCTTATAAAACAAAAAAGAAAAGAAAAGAAAACTTTTTTTTCTTTCGTTAAAGACAGAATAATAACTTTTCATTGACACATCTCAAATGATGACATTTTAATTTTTTTTTAAATGATTTGATGAATAATAAAGATAAAAATAAAAAGCAAACGAAGTTGATCCACTCATTGTCAAATATCTTCTTTCTTTTTCTTTTCTTATTTATTACATCACTAAGGAAATAATTCATTTTCTTTCTTTTTTTTGTGTTGTCTCTTTTTTGAAGAACATACTTAAGAAGATAAAAAGCAATTTGTTTCATATTCTATTAGTGTTTAATAAGATGTATGAATGATTTGATTCTTACCAAATATTTCTAATAAAAATGATGTTAATTTTTCATCATTTAACATACATGTATAAATGCCTGAATCATTTTGATTAACTGATATTAATTTTAAATCTAAACGATTGGTTGAAAATTGAATTAATTTAATATGTTGATTTGATGAAAATTCATGAACAAATAATTCTGAACCAAGTGACAATATGTCACCTGTCATCTGACGCATGAAGGATACCTAAAATTAAATATTAATCATTTAATCTGAACATTTTATTATGAAAAAAAAGAAAATTTAGAAATCTTTTGTTCATTAAATAAATCTTTTAGAAATATTTTACTTTTATTATAATAAAATATGTTAATTAAATATTATTGTTCAATAGTTTTTAATTAATCAATTAACATATGCTAAAATATCTCATGATAAAATTGTTATCTTTTCTTTTTTTCGTAAATGAAAAAAAAGAAAAAAGAAAGTTAAATAAGAACTTCCGTACGATGAATATGTTTAACTTATGTTAAGTATATCTATGCCCTTGAAAGTAACAATAATATTGATTGAAGAGAAAAAAAGAGGATCTAAAGAGACTGATTCAAAGATGATGAAGAGCTCTTCAAATACTGAATCTCACGGTAAGGCGACATATGATAAAAGTTTATTTTCATTCATGGTGACCTATCAGATAAATCAATCTGTTAAACAAGCTGATGCATGTTACGCCAAATTTAATCATCACATATATATATAAGACTTTACTTAAGAATTCTTATATGTATCAATATCATAAAATATACACAAGTTTTCATTAAAATAACTCTAGACAATATCAGACATATATATATATAAACTATTGATCAATAAAGAGAATCTTCTTGTCCAGCTGGATAATCGAAAATCGATATAGACACGCTCATCTAATGTTCAACTAAAGAATAAACAATGATCCGTTACACGTATAGTTTATATTTTGTTTGCCATATGATGAATAGATATATATAGAACAACTGTCATAGATTTATTTAATATAGAAAACAATCGATCCTATTAACGAATGTTTTTCTGCATCGATCAGTTTTTCTTTTTATACACAAATATATAGATATACGTATATATATATAGATATATATACAGAGAAACAAAAAAGTCTTCAACTTGTTTTTTTCTTTTTCTAACCTGTTCAATTTTGTCTTCATCGAATAAACATGACATAGTTACATCTTGGCCAACATCAGCTTTCAATATTTGATGTTGATAATCATTTGCTGATAAAGTTTTTTCAAAGTAAATGATTAAAATAATCAGAAGATATTGAAATAGTGAGGAACATATGCACCACGACGGCATGACTGATGACTGAATGAATGTGAGACGAGATGAGAAACACTAAGAGAGAGAGAGAGAAAGAGAGAAAGAGAAAAAAGTCTTTCCTTTTTTTCCTTTAGTTGAGCTCTAGCCTACAACACGTCTAGTAAGACAGACCGACGACGTAGGTTTGTATGTGTATGTGTGTGTGTGTGTGTGTGTGATAATTGCACTCTCTCTCTCTCTTCTCTCTTCTTTCTTGCATACACACGTTCATTTCATCTCATCCGCTTGAGGCATATAAATGAAGACGTGCAATGGACGATGGGCGTCATCATGAATTGTAAAAAAAAAGAAGAAAGAAATGTATGTTCATTTTACGTTTTTCCTTCCTGTGTATTGATGTACAAGAGGTACAAATGATGATAATCATCATTTGTTGTTGATGGCACGTATTGAACAAGAACGAAAGTGCTTTTGCTTTTATGCATATATATATATATATATATTTGTACGTTTTTTTTTCGTTACTTACGTCATTCAACCTACGCAATGTTTGTTTGGTCGGGTCGAGATCGGATGGTTTCATTCTTTATATAAATCAATGTTGTGGTACTGAATAGTATGAACACATCGAAAAGAACAATAATAATAACTATCGGTGACGACAAGAAAAAAAAAAACGATGATGATTTATTCAGTTGAATGATTCTTCTACTCCACCTTCTTTCTTCAATGTTTTTTTTCTTGATAACAAAAACATACTATGTAGTTTACTAAATATTGAATGAATTCATATACGATTTCGTAACAGAATTATTTCATCAACTGGTATGCTCTATCAAAATAAATGATAGGTGTATCGTTTGTATTATTTATGTTATAGTTATACATACATTAGAAGAGAAACCTCTTTGAAAAATTTTATAAGAGAAGCTCAATAACTAACCAACAATATTGAATATAGATCTAGTATTTTCTTTTTTTGCTCTGTTCTATTTATATTTTAAACAAAATGAATAGTAGAATAAAATCATTCAAGTGTTAATAGATGATGAATTATCTACTAATATCTTAATATGAAAAACAAAAAAAAATGTTATGCGTTCGAAAAATCTATATAAGAGTATCAACTTTTAATTAGTAATTATGATACTTTGAATATAGAGACTTTCATATATAACGTTTCATTTGCATAGTATTACTCATTTATTTTTATTTTCATACTTCGAATGTCAATTCTATTTTCTTCTTTTAAGATATAAATAATTGTAAAATTTTATAATTTTCATTAAAAAAAAAAAAACTAGTTCTCCTTCATCCTTCTTTCATACAACATAATTATAATGTTAATTATATGTGAAGTATTGACGGAAAGAAGTCATGACACATGTTAATCTTGTTCAAAAGAATATATTTCTGTAAGTTGAGATTGGTAATAATTATTAAATGCATAGATACCTTTTAATATTAATTTCTTGTTTGTCAAGTTGAATAAATGAAAGTTAGCTGCTTTTTTTTTATTTTATCTTTTTTTTTGTTTGTAATTTATCGCTTCAAAAGGTTTCTTTAAAAATGAATACAAAAAAATTATTAATACCAATAGAAAATAATATGAAAGTTTATTTTCTAATCGAACATTTCTAATTAATTAAAGTATATATATATATATTAAAACAAAATAATCTCTATATGACAAAAAAAAGAAAAGTAAAACATAGAAAGAGCACGATCTTATAGAGTGAGACTTCAGTTAAGACAAAGTTAAACTAATTACTTGTTTGGCTTCTATTTCATTGCATAGAGATGAATTGATGTTGATTCTTTTTTTGAGTGTGATCATCAAATGGTTTCTCATCTGTTACCTTTTTTCTTTTTGTTGTTATTCTTTTCAAAAATTTGTATATTAAGTAGAACATTTTAATTTATATTATTTAAAAGAATTTAATAAAGAAAAAGAAATATTATTTTGTCTACGATCATATTAAAAATCCATTAAACTATAGTAAAATGTCATGTCTTATTAACAGTTATCATTCTATAACACAAATAAAAGATTATCAATTGTATATGAAATATATATATATCAATTTAATTTCGAAATTATTTAAAATCTATCAAACTAGTTTTGAATTTCAATTCAAAATTTATTATTATAGTTTTTCAGCTCCATCTTGTGGTACAAAATCAAAATCTTTTTTAGCATCATCTAAATCGACCCAAAGACGATGATTATTCGACATAATAAAGTATATACCACTAATATATTCAGGAGCTTGTAATACTTTATCAATAAATGAACATAGATCACGATGACTAAACCATACAGTTCGAAGCCAAGTTTCTCCTGGTTGATCATCTACATTGGCCCATCCAAAACGAGCACAAATAATAGATTTTGAACCATTTTTAACAATTTCCATAGCCATTTGTTCACCAATAATTTTACTTTGAGAATATACAGTATTGCCTAATGTTTGAGTATCAGGTAAAGGTGGATCATCTAATACAGTTAGTTTTCTAAGATTATTTAACATAGTTGTATCATTAAAAGTTCCATTAAAAATTGAACGATATGGTTCATAATTAATATAACCAAAAACTGTCATTACTGAACTTGCATATATAATACGACGAACACCAGCTAAAAAGAAACATATAAAAAATTATTTTAAATAAAAAAAATTATAAAATAGAAGACAAAATGATAACAAACGTGCTTCAAAAACATTTTTTGTTCCATCAATATTAACATGTGAAATCTTTTCAATATCAGGATGATTTTCAAGTAGAGCTGCTAAATGAATAATTATTTCAATTTTTTGTTCTTTTATTATTTCATGTAATTTTATTCTATCTGTTATATCACATTGAAAAAACTTATCTAATGGAATAGGTAATATTGGTTTTATTTTAGGATCATCATTATTGACAGATTGATATCGTGGTGATATATTCAAATGTTGATCAAGACCAAAGATTTTATATTTTATTGGATATTTTTCAGTTAAATAATTAAATAAAATTCTTCCTATTAAACCTGAAACACCAGTAATTAATATTCGTTGTTGATTTGAAGAAACTTCTAATTTATTATCATTTATTTCAGTCATATTAACTGTTCTATTCAACGTCAAGGTATGAAAGTGAATTGTCTATGACTATCATTTAACATGTTTACAACAAAAAAAAGATAATTCGAAAATGTTTTAGAAAAAAAAAAAAGAAAGATAAAAGATAAGATAAAAAGGACGATGATATTACGAGTTAAAAAAAAAAACGAAGATTTTTTTTAATTTTCTTTGCTATTTTTTGGTGATGACTTTTGTCTTCGAGATGTTATAAGTGATCGAAGAAATTCTTTAACACCAACATATGTTTCTTGTCCAACTGGTTCAATAAATGTTGACGGAAGCATAAAAGCAAAATGTGCATGTGCATCATTCATATCATCTGAAGGACGTAATTCAACAGTATAAACATATTTTATTTGACCAACACCTTTAGCCCAATCATCACTACCACCTGCTGATTCATCTAAATCACAAGAGTAAAAAAAAAAATTCAACATAAAAAGAAAATGTAAATCAATATACAAAGTAAATTAGCTGCTGATCCAATTTTATATGAAGTACCATTGACACGTTTTAATGCTTCGGAGCCAATTTGAGCTTTACGTTTCTACAAAATGAAAAATATTTATTTGTTTTTCTAAATAAGTAAGAAAAAAGAATTTTTAAATTAGTCTACCAATTCAATATAATCATCAGGCATATGTAAAGCAAATCCCCATGGATAAATCCAATATTGTCCATAAGAATGAAATGTTAAATAAGCATCCCAACGCTGAGATGATTGTTTAATAAATTTTTGTAAACTTTGTGTTTCTAATTCACTATCTGGTTTAGGTCCTGCATATGTTTCAGAACAAGGATTTGGTGACGCACCATTTTCTAAGAGAAAAGAAAATCATACAACAACAAATTTTCGAAAAAAGTTAATTTTTACCCATCCAATGATATCCAAAATTTCTATTAAGATCAACTCCCATACAATTTGGATTTGAACCATAATAATAACTATTAGGTGATCGATTTTTACGCCACATTCGTCTCTATTTTATTACAAAAAAAAAAGAAAAAGAAAAATTAATTCTTTAAAACAAATAAAAAAAAATCTAAATTACTTCTGTTTGTGCATATTCATAACCATCTGGATTCAATAATGGAATTATATAAATATTAAATATTGATAAAATTGATGGTTTTCTATTATTAACTTCATCAATTAACTAAAACAAAGCAATATCATCTTTTTTTTTTCATCCATCTAGAAATCATTAGAACACTTTACTTTATCAATTATATAAAGACAGGTGGCAGGCGAAATAAATTCTCTTGCATGTATTCCACAATCCATTAAGATATTACGTCGTGCAGATGGTTTACCAATCTTAATCAAAATAATAATAATAATAATAGAATTTGTTTTTGTATTAAAATTTAAAATCGAATACTCGTATTGTCCAAATTGATCGATTTTCATATGTATTACCAATAGAAAAGAGTGAAGTAAAATTTTTTGAAGATGGAGATCGTTTATGTTGTTCATTGAGAAATTCGACAATCTATTGAAAACAAAAAAATAATATAATAATTGATTTATTTTCAAAAAAATGTTCACTTCTTGATATGTTAAGTAATCAGTAAGATGATGTGAAATTCGATCTTTTATCGATCTTTGTATTCGTTTTTTATGTTGTTTAGAAATATAATCTGATTTTTTGATTAATCTAAAGAATCAAAAATAAAATATTTTATGTTTCTCTTCAATGAATTAAATAGATAAAATTTTACTCGTCTAAATCATTATTTAGAGTAGTAACATCAATTCCATGTTGTTTACATAATTTTTTTATTATTAATACTTGTTTTTGTGGTAAACTCATTTTAACATCACGATTTATCTGTAGAACTTCAGACCATCGATCGACCTAGAGAAGAAAAAAAATTCGCATTTTGTAAATTAATAAAATCAAAATGATTGAAATCTTACTCCATAATGATCTTCAAAATAGCGAATTAATTGAAGATGTTCATTTGTTTTTGGCAAAATACGTATTAACTCATGTCTAATTTAAATATTAATTTATCTTTATTTTGATTCAATTTATATTTACCCTTTATAAAAATTATTATTAGCATAAGAATACGTAAACAAAATCCAAGAGATGATGATCAATGTCCACATTTCAAACCACATTTATACGCCTTGATGATCTTCTAAATGTGACAAATCTTATAGTATATCATTTAAAATATTGAAGAGTAATAATATCTGAGGAAAAGAAAAAGACAAATGAATCGAACAAACGCTTGCATTTTTATTTAGTTTTGTGTAGAAAAGATCTAATTACTTGGCTTTTAAGTACAAAAGTATGAGTGATGATTGACAACTGCTAGCAGTCAAACAGAAGATTCAAATTACTCGAACTTCTTTCTACGTCATATGATGCTTTTTTTTTTCTTATCAAATTGAAACCGTTAAAGAAAAAGTAAAAAAAAAACTTTACGCATGTTTAACTTCTATTTAAAGATACGCTAGACCAATTTGTAATCAATCATATATTCTCATCAAAAATCAAAAATGTCAGTTCTTTATAACAACTAACTGATCATCATCTATTATTATTGCCTTCATTACAGTCATTAAAGTAATATGAAACATTTATCATAACTTTTTTTAGCATAATATGAATCATGATAGAAAGATTTTTAGATACTCTATTATTGGAATAAACTTGAGTGTCTATTTTTTGTATCTTTTTAAAATTTTCTTTTATAAGTTTTTGATAATAATATCTTCTAGTTTGAAGAAAAAGCCTTTCTGTCATTCATACTACTAACGAAAAAAATCATTGCAAATCGTATTTTTGATCTAAAATATAAACTATATGATCAAAAGAAGTGTTCTTAGATATGTATAAATAGCATAAGTTTAGACGTTTCTAATACATATTTTATGTTCTTTTAGAAAAAAAAAACTTCACATCTCCTCAAAAGAAAATCGCGACATCCGCAAATGTTAGATGCGTCAAGCTACCACTGATGAAGACACAAACTGTTTAAATACTTTCTAAGAGATTGCAATCGATGAAGTTTTGAATGATCTATTGTTAAATGTTATTCAAGCATGAGATTAAAAAGACTCAGAAAATATATGAACAGTTCGTATCTTCATATTAAGTTTTTATATGTATTATAAACGTCTAAAATACGACTTGCAGTGATTTTTTCGTTGGCAGATAGATCAATGATAAAATATTCGTTTATTTGATAATCAAACTAGATGTGTAATATATGATAAGAATTTAAATTCTGTAATCGACTTAATAATACTATTTGGTATTTTCTTTTTGTGTTTTGACATCTATGGAGTAAAAGAACAAGTGGCTATTGTATATCTGTGTTCCTTCATTTCAAAAACAAATTCTAAAATAGATTTATGCATGATATTTTACAGCAAAAAAACAAAAAGAAACGTAATATCATAAACATAAGATAAACCTAGGAGAAAATAAGAAAATTTAAAATAAAGTTCTATTAAATAATACGTTCAGTACAATGAATTGAACTTGTATTAAACCAATAATATAAATAAAGTTCATTAAATAAACGACAAGCAACTAATACAGCTTTTCGATCTTTAGTTTTTTCTGTATCAGGTAAATTAGCATAAGATACGAATAATTCTTTTTGTTTATGATTTGGATTACGTTTCTTCCATTCTATATGTATTATCTCTGATATTTTTTCAATAAAATATCGATTAAATAAACATTTTTGACGAACACATTGTAAAATATATTTACAAGCAATTCGTGCTGTTGCTCGATTTTCATCGGCTCGATCTGAAGGTAATTCATCATGTTCCATATTTAATATATCAACATAAATAAGTGATAAATTATAACGATCACGAGCTACTTTAAGATTTCGATGAACAAGACATGAACCAACAGTAAGAATCATTGGATATATAAAATCAGATGAATTATAATATGTTATTGAATTTGTTAATTTAAAACGATTTTTAGCATATGGATTTGTTTCAAGAAAATTTTCTCGCCAATTTGAATGATAAACACGAGCAACATTTTTAACGAAAAATCGAAATTGATTTTTAGACAAGGTCGATTCAATATCATTACCACATAGAAGAATAACATACATTAGTGTTATTATCAGATACATACTACAACAAAATGATAATACTAAATGTGAAAGACATTACTTATCGCATTACAGATATATTTGTACCAGCGATATGTTACTGATAATTCTCGTTATTTTGTTTCTCTATTTGTTGTGTACAAGTATGTCTTACATAAATAATGTATTAAGACACAAGAAAAACATGAATTATGATAGACTTTTACAACTTATAAACTTCGAAATCGAGTATTTATCTCTTTCAGTATTTATTATCTTGTTAAGAAAAATAATCAATATTTTATCTTTCATTTTTTTTTAGTGTATTTATGTTATAATTAATGAAAGTCTGATATTACATTTTATTTTCTTTCTTAATTTTTTTCAAGAATATTTTTTAATGATCTATATTAATTGAATAAATTATTAAAACAAATATTTTAAAAGTTCATAGTATAAACATGTTGAGACAGAACTTATTCTAGATAGACAAAAAATAAATAGAAAATCGTTTAATTAATGTTTTTGTCGTATTGAAACGTATAAATGTATTGACTGATTTAATTCATATCTTTTAAAACATTTTTCATAATTTACTTTGGTGTATATTTCGATCTTAAATTATTAAAAATTGATTTGACTTGGTCATTATGAAATACAAGACATTGAAACAAGGTATTTTTCAATTTTGTGTAAATCATCTGAAAGTATTGGAATATTATTCATCAGAAGTTTTCATGCAATTATTAAATATTTTCTTATACAATCGTTGTTAAAAGCACACTTATTGAGTCTAAAACTTAACTAAACAAATAGTTGGATGATTGACATATAGATTATAATTCAGATTGAATGTTATTTGTCGAATTTATTTTTTGCTAAAGATGTGTATGTTCATTTATTTTTATCGTTTAACTGAATATTTTTTAAAGAGACATATTCACTGTATCTTATATATCTTCTAAAGTATAAAGAATTCTTTGAAAATCAAAATTATTTTGAGTTTTTTTGGAGATAAAACACGAGAGTTCTCGTAATTCTTTCAAGTAAACAATCATAAAAATATTGTGGTCTCCTGAGAGTACTATGCAGTATGTTAATGGTCTCATGTTGAATATCATGCAAAGTTAAACTATTAATAGTTGATGATATTATTACTTGTTCTTTCTTTATATAGCATATATCAATACATACTAGTATTATTACTATCGATTCTGGTTCATCTGATGTCAGATGTCCTCATTTGTTTTATAGAAATAAGCATAACATATATTAGTGATAGATCGTCGATAAGTGAAATCATTCTATTTTGGTGTCATAATACTACTTTAAATAACCAAGTAAAAGTTTTGCTATTTCACTTATATCTTAATAGATCTTTTTATCTGTATTTCTTTCTTTGACAACATATATATTTATATATTGTCGCATATAATGTTCGGTATTTTCTCTTTCATTCTTCTTCTTGCTTCTCAAGCGTTCGAATAGAACAAAAATGAATTGCCTCTCTCTGATATATGTTCATTTTGGAGTTTTATCTCGCTTTTTATACAGTTGAGAATGTTTCTTGTGAACCACGATGTGATTTTAGTACACTTTTATTTCTTATAGAATCACATTTACTTGCGTAAAGGTCCACACAAATATATATGTCAAACAAAAACAAGTAACGTATGAATGTGAGAATATCCAAATCGAATCATTTTTTTAAAATATTTTTCATAGGAAATTGTTCTCAATAAGGAGAACAAGAAGAAAATAGTATACCCGACATATCTTCAAGGTAATTCTTTAAAGCTAACTAAATGTGTTTGATCTTGATATAAGTTGGAAATAATGATAAAAAAAAATGAAGAATGATTCCTTGAAGGTCATTCATACATATATGCATATATATACGGGATCACTTTTCACTTTTGTTATTGAACGAAGAAAATGAAAAAAGTATTATTGTCTAGACTATCTTTGTTTTCATACTATTATAAAGTAATTATCTCTGGCCAGTTTAAATCTAAGCGAAAACTGAATAAAAAGAAGCAGAAAGCACGATCAATAGATAAAAATGACTAAGCTTATTCAGTTTAAACAAAGGAATACTTGATTAAAATATAATCAATAAACTCCGACATAATGATTAATATACCAAAAGCAGTTGTGCAGTTGGATAAACTCGTTCTTAGGAACATCTCATTCTGTTTTAACAGTTTAGATTCATGACTTTTAAATGACGTTTTTCTCATTTGCTTGTGTGCCTAAATTTTTATATTCTCAAATTTATAAAATAAAATAAAATAGTATTATGAATATGATGTTTGAAACAAGTAGAAAATAAGGATAGTCAAATAAAAATAATTAAAAAGTTTAATTGAATAAGAAATGCCTTTTATAAAACAACTACTATCATTCTATTCACTCTATCAGTTGGTATAAAACTTAAAAAATGTTTTATTCTACAAATCATAGAACATTTCTAAACCTACTTCTCGACTAATACAGAGATTAATATAAAGACAGCCAACATCCAACAAGAAAAATAAATGCGGCATGATTTAATAAATAAATTAATAATGAAGGACATTGTACTACACTAAATAAAGTTGAAATTCGTATTAATTGAACTACTAATACTCGTAAATTGTCTAGTCCAAGGTGATCATAAGAGACAGTTTGATTATTAGTTTGTACATTTGACACATGCATTAATATAACACTAGCTGTAACTATGACTGCTGCAATTTAGTTTAAAATTGAGAATGATACATTGTCAATATGTATCACAAGAAAACATCACATTTGGAATTAGCTTGACGCAAATGATTAGATCCTATTGATGGACTATTGAATCTAATATGATGAAAAAAAAAAACAAACTTCTACATAAATCAAGAACTGTTTCATTCCTATCAAATGGATAATAAATTACTATTATCATGTCATTAAAAGTTTCACAGAAAGTTCGAACAATGCTTATTAAAATAGTGGACTGATGAATACATTTTCAGACATGAAATTAAAAAATTTTTATTCTTAAAATAATATTGCATTAGTAGAAGAATGAAAATTTTGAACATAATTTTTTCTTACAAAACGAATAGAATCAGAGTCACAATATCATAATGTTCAATTAGATTGTATAGTCTCATATGAAATATGTTGTTTATTAAGAATGGGATATACAAATTTTCAATGTTACAACAAACACTGAAAGATAACTCATCAAATAACAAGATAACTTCGGTAAGAACGAATGTATTTGAAATTTTAGTTGAGAAAATGATTTGAGATTTTTATTTTCTATTAAAACACACGATTATAAATAAATAATTTTTCATTCAAGTCCTTTCATAAATAACTAAGATAAAATTTATTCCTGTTGAAAAAGATATGAAGCTTTCATATAAATCTCGGTAAGTCTTATCAGAAATGTATTATTATTTGTGTTTTGCTGTTATCTATCCATTGTTTTGAACGATATGTTTATAACTATAGAAAATAGTTCAATTTCATTTTTACACCAGTAATTTATCAATATTTGATGTAAATTTGAGTGTAGAAGTGACAGATCAAAAAATGTCAAGCTCAAACAAGAATCGGATAGTACTGTATATATTGTACTGAATCAAATATGAAAATTTTGATGATTTCTACTAATATATCATTGGTTGCACGTCGCGAAGAGTAAAAACAAAAAATACTAAAATATAGTATAATTTCTTATAGAGTAAAATATTTACATAGGAATACATACAAAAGTGGTTAGTAGAGCATTATTTACTTATTAAGCGAAGAAAATAGATTTTCATTTATAAGTTGAATTTTAATTATATGATGAACTTCATTCGATAATATCTATAGTATCTGATAATTTACCTTGATATAGATAAATGATTCCATTGGAAATAGTATCAATACAACGATTGACGTAAATCAATTGTTCAAATAATATTGCATTATATAAACAACAATGATATGATATCAGATAATTGTTTCAAGCATCACTGCACTCATCAATCTTATATTATTGACGTACATCAAACTGAATGAAAGAGGTATACGATATTTTAGTATATTTAACCAAAGATATGTCGGATTTGAATCACATAAACTAAATATGTCATCGTTCATTTGAACAAGAGTACTCAATCAAAAGATCTTCATCTTTCAAAGTGAAATATTGTTGTGTGAGATTGACAGATGATATACTGATATATTGAGAGGCATTATTTGCCGGGCATAATCTTAACTAAGATAGCTCATTCGAGAATTCAAACTGTGACCTACTCGATGGGCATATGGACTTCAATCATTATCATTTCTTTCCAATGAATAGAGAACGCTAATGCTTGATACACACAATGATATTTCTTTACCGACAAATATCTATGATGAATGAACAGATACTATCAATATTTGCTAATGAAACTTTATAATGAAGAAATAAATCGAAATTATCATCAGGCCTTTTTTATGATTTTATAAAATACATATATGAGTAGAACTAACGAATTTTGATGATGAATATCAGTGATACAGTAGCAAAAGTTGCAACGACAAAAAATGAAATGTATCTGAATTTTCGATGATTACTATTGACACCAGTCTATTGGATATTAACTCGTCAAACGTCTGTAACATGTTAATCTCTAGATAATCTCATTTACTATGACTAACATCGAAAAAAAGATCCTTAAATAACTTTATCTTATGAAAGTAGGAAAATCACGAAATTAATGCGATAACTGGTAGATCAGCCAGTCTTAACACGTACTGATAACAATCCCATCATTTGGTATCGACGACAAATGAAAAAGGAAGACGAGCTATTTTGATAAATTGTTGCTCCTCAGATGTTAAACGACTTTCAACGAAGATCAAAACGCATAATATACTCATCGGAGAGTAACTTCTGAAAGAATACATTATTGAATTGGTATAATATAAGATAAATCTTCAAAACGTTTTTAGAATGTCTTCAAAACTTGAATATCTAATGAATAATTTTAATACTCTAACGAAATGTTATTTTCGCATAAGATTTGACTTTGAAAAGATCAAAAGAATATATTGAATAATGTAGTACATACGAATGATCAGATGGGACAAGTAGTTAGAAAAGATAAAGCTGTTCAACAAAGATTAACGAACATACAAATAAATGTTTTAGAAAAAAAAACTCTATTTTCTATTGCTTATTCTTAAGAATTTTGTTCCATAGAGATAGTCTTTTGTCTTTTAAGCTATCAACAAAATGTTTGAAACTACTTTTAGCATTGTTAAAACAAAAGATTACACAAAGAAGCAATTAATCAACACATGGTATAAGTTACTTTGATATTTACTTGAGTCAGTGAATCAAACTCGTAATTTTTTGTTTTAAGTTGCTTACAGCATTTGATCTTTCGAGAAGCAACGAAAAGTTATTTGAAATCAGATTATATATAATATATTTTCAGTTACATTAGTATTTATTTCTGATGATTGTATAATTGTTTCGTCATAAAGTGATGAATTTGCAAATAAATCTGTTTTAAAAAGTATGACTTAGTTGTGCACTTTCATATGTTATATAGGATTGATTGTTTCTTATTGATGAGAACTAGAAGTCGAAGCTAAAAACTGCTTCAGGATGCGACAAATATCATCTATTCAAGAAGTCAACCTATCTAGATGGTTCCATTGTCGTGTTATAAGTATTCTGTTAAGACTCTCGAAATCGGTCAATTAACCACTTGTTAGTTTGAAATAAGCTATATATAAAAGATTGTTACTAGATTGAAACGGTCTTATGAAAATACATTGCTTTCGCGTAGCATCTGATTAAAACTGATGATTTTCACATATTTGTATGGATTTTTAATGTTGCTTAAAAGAAATATGTTTCGTTTCAGTATGATCAAAACCTTCTATATGAGTTCATTTCAAAACTAACCAGTGGACAATTGGCCGATTTCGAAGATCTCAGAATAAAACATGACAAAAGAATTATCTGAAGAGATTGGTCTAGCGTACATTACGAGAGGTCTTGATTTTTTTCAATTAAATATAACTATCTTTAAAGTCAAAATGTAATCAAAAATTTTTATGAACATGATTTCGAAAATGGTCACTGAAAAATGACTAATTAGTTCTCGTTTGTTTGATTTTGACATGATTTGATAAAGTTATCTGTCCTATTTCAAACAGTGAAAATCACACAATGCCCACTATTTCTATGCGTGAGTTATTCACGTATGATCAAATTCATTGACATTTTGAAATAGTATTTATACAAATTTTGACTTATTTACAGTACTTTTATCTTCTATCTTCAAACTACAATGAATTTTTAGAAAATTTCCTTCTTCATATTATTTTTCATTAAAAAGCATGCTGAAACAATTCAAAGCTTTGTCATATGTTATTCTGATGTTTGTGATGATCTGCTTTTTTTTTGTTATAATATGAGTTCATATGTTTTCTGGCATTTATTAAATAATTTTATGATACTCTTAGTTACTCATTTATAATAGAAAAAACAGTTAGCAAATTAGGTAATTGCCGAAACCTAATTTTCAACATAACAAAGATTGTAAACAAAACATATGTATGGCTTCGGGATTTTTTTCAATGTGTTTTTTGTTGATTGAATAGCTCTAGAAAATCATAGTGCAAAATTAGTCGATGCTTACTGTCTGCGACGAAGAATACATAGAATACTTCCTTACAGTTAACATTAAAAAGCTGTTAGAATTATTATGAGATTTACAAACATTAACAATCTAACGTGTGGTATTTTTTCATTTTGAAAAATGATTTTTTAATTTAAAATATAAGCAGAAAAAAGTGTTAAATATTGATCAAATAGAACACAATAATGGTGTTAACTCTTTTTGTCATTATATGAAATGTTCAATTTCAAATGTTGTAATTATTTTGTATAAATAAGAAAGACATCCGAATCGTTTCTGTGCTTTTGACCTTATCTTTTAGCAATTATTAGATTTTAGTGACATTTACCGCCCTAGTGAAGTGTTCGTACTCAAGAATTTTTTCTTTTTAGATATCAACACTATATAAAGAAAAAATTTTCTTCATATTTGTTATAATTAATATATATATATACATAAAAAAATGTTCGAAAACAAGTATTTCATAATTTAGTCTTGTTTTTGTCATATATAAGAACAATAAAATGTGAAAATCGTTTTAGAAATTCTCGAATAATCTTTATAAGAAATAATTACTTGAAGTTAAACATTGTCTTGTTGTATATTTATCGAAAAGTGTCATCAATCATGACCTTCTAATAGACATGAAAGACGAATAAAAGTAGCTTTCAAGCATTCCACAGAGACATATGACATTATGTCAATCTATCAACAGACGAACTATGGAATAGAATATTGTACTTTAAACTAAATGTCCAACGTCAATCAGAAAATAGAATTCGTAGGCGTCCAACCACAAAGAAAAGAAGAAAAAAAAACCAGTGTCACAGAAAAAGACATCACTCTTTCTCTTCACTGCATTTTTAGAACCAATAGTATTCAACATATTGATACCTACGCATGACAGAAAGAATGTTTCACTTAGATCAAAGAGAATAAATATCTAGTTACACGCATACAGTTATTATCTTAACCAGCCACCATATACAACAAACCAATGTTTCCATTAGCATCACCATATTACAACAACTGTATTTATGTATATATTTTCTTCATAGAATGATGATGTGTTTGAGATTATAATTTAATAAATTAATCTTAATTCTCAATGGATTATGATTAAAAGTACACGGTTGGCAGATAGGTATTTTGATTAACATGAAGAACTTTCCATTTGATTCGATTAAATTAAATGTTTTCTTCGTACATAGTTAGTCAATAAGGTAAATAATCTACCAACTAACTAATCATTTTCTAGTTTCAAGATTTTATTGTTTTATAATAAATTTTGAATAACATATTATGTGAGATATTTTTTAAAAAATAAAATGAATGATGATTTATTGTAGATACTAGTTCGTTATACATCACTATCTATAAAATGTTTACACTCGAACAATTTCTTCAAAATAAAACATGGAATCCAACATTAGATGATGCTGGTGAAGCAGGTAAAAAAATTCTTCATATGCGTCTTCAAGTTAAACCTGGAACAACTCCTGATAATTTAAATATTACACTTAGTGGACATGATTTACGTGTTAATTTTGAAAATAAAGGTAAATTATTATCTATTATTTCGAATATAATACAAGCAAATTGTTTTTTTTATTTTAGCTGGACCAGAATATAAACAAGTAACAATATGGCCAACAGCTGATCTTGAAAAACTCAAGACTGAACTTCGAAGTGATGGATTTCTTCATATTACAGTACCAATTAAAGTTTAGAGAAAAATGTTAAATATTTAGCCATATTTATAATATATATCTAATCTCATCTCTTGAACCCTTTGTAGTTGTATTGAGCTTATTTGCATGAAATATCAATTTGGATAATAAACAATATAATCAACTAATCAAGTGATTCACTACAAAATATATATAAAATATATCTCGCTATTAGAAAATGGCTTGAATCAGATAAAAAAAGACATATACAAATATTGAAAAATAGTGTAACAAAGGTCAATTCTATACATTTTCCGTTTATCTATGTGAAGTCTTCAGTTAATTAACTGAAATAACATTAACCGTATGGCTTTCAAAGAAAAAAAAAATAATGATTGATATACTAGTGAAATTTAGTCTAAAAATAGCATCAGTCCATTTATTTGTCTACCACAAAACAGAAATCAACTATAATTAGTTATATATTTATACAGGCTTGTTTTCCCTTCTTCTGTACACCAGAAACTCTAATGAATGTATTAATGGATTTTCTCAAAGATAATAATAATGTTAATTATAGAACACAAATACTAGTTTTTTTTATCCTTACGTCGTCTAAAAAATATCAAAGTTAATGCATAGATATTAATGATTAACATTCTGTCAAATTCTAAACAATTATCATTCAATCCTTGTATTTATTTTCGAATGATAGAATTTCACTTGAATTATAGTAGAATCGATTTTTCTTGTCAAAAACTAAAGACCTTGCTCGTCTATCTACATTAATTTATTGTTTCAACGAAGATAATTGTATGTCTTAGTAAATATTACTCAACTCTCGAATGGAAAACTAACACGATGATATAGTTGATTACTTGTAAAATAAGCGGATGAAGTTTAACGCTTGTTTTAATCGAGCATGCATAATAGCAAGAATATATATATATATAAGATATCTTTAGCATCAATTTTGACAGAAAAGTGTTTGTGTGAAAGTTATATAAGATAATGAGAAAATATATAACTTAGAAATTATTTGTTTATGACAGAAGAATAATCCTTCTAAAGATGTTATCTGTTTTCAATTTATCATAATGTTTTTTCTATGAATTCCTTTTCTGCTATAGAAAGAAAATGATAGACGTCTTGTTTTTTTTGTTGCAGGACACCTATCGTTAAAATAAGTATTGTTTACTGGATGATCCTATATATATATATATATATATTATATCTTTATGTTTCTGTGTTTGTATTTTAATCAACCAAATATGAAGGTTATAGATTCTTTTGTGTTTCTGATATTATGGATACGTAATTGTTGGTTGTTAATCATTAATGTCTTTGTATACATTGTACATACTGATTGTTGTTGATGGCTTTTCATCAATAAGAAATGGTTTTTTTTTTTTTATCTTTGAATAGTAAATATTGTTTTTCTCTTGCCTTTTCTGGATTTATCATCGATTATAGGCAATCTAGAAAAGAAAAAAAAGGCGTTATTTCATTGACATATACTCTCATCGATCGATATACGAGTTTCATATTTTTATCTTCATTTCACATTATCACTGATTTGTCAATAGGATGCTCAAATTCATTATATTTTTATCAGTCTTAGTTACATTATTCTTTGTTACAAATATTAATGGTGTCCTATTCGGCGGTCACAAGGAAAAATGCCAAGTATCGGCATATAAAGGTGGAAAATATTTTAGTGGTGAAAAAGTTATGGCACATAAAGAATTTGCACCTTATTTAAAATCAATTGGTGCTGTAGCCAAAGCATGTAAAGTACGAGTACATGTTACTGATTCATATAAACAATTGAAAACTCCAACTGAATATGTACTTTCCTCACAAATGTCATTAGCTCTTGGACGTGGTATTCACTTTGACTTACAAGATCCAAAAGGATCAACAGTATGCAATAAGTTATGTATGACAACACGTGCATGGAAAACACTTCCCGAAGCAGCTTGTTTCATTGATAATGTTCAAAAGAAAGCCGTTAAGTTTACAGAACCCAATCTTTTACATGATGGTTATGCAACGAAAGCAAGCGCATCTGAATTAGAAGCAGCCAAAGTTGCAATACAAAAACTGTGCGCACCCAAAACTAAAGGCTAAATATCGGCCATCAATCTTCAAAGGACATTAATAAATACTATGAATATTACCTTAAAAGCTCTTATTTTATGAACTAGCATTATTATACTATTCAATATAGTTATCCTTAAAGATTTTAAACAATACATAAAAAAATAGTATTATATCTAATGTTTGTTTTAATTTTTCATTGATATCATAAGAAAATCAATTAAATATCAATGATATATACAAGAAGATCGTTTGGCACTGATTTTGATTTTATAATAAATTATCAATTTTTTATTGTATGAATTATATCAGTTCAAACATAAAATTTGCCTAATTTTCTTTGCAGTAGACAGAAAATATGAGATCAAATACTCAGTTAAGAGGCCGAATTTTTCCGAAAGTACGAACACCTTATTTTGGCTTGGGATCATGTCTTGTATGGAAAAAGTTGCATAGAAACAGTTAAAATCTTTCTATATTCTTTGGTCTATATATCTATTAGACATCTTGATATATTTTTAATCTACGCATAAATCGATAAGAAAAAAACTGCATTTTTTCTTAATTATCTCATTATTTTTTTAAAATTATCATCAATCATTTTATTGATGTTGACTGTTAAATGAAAAAAAAATCATATCTATTGCTTCATAGTGCAATATAGATATATTTACAGATTGTTTAACTACGTAAAATTAATTGCTCTTTACTAAAGCTAAATATTTGAAATGATGTACTTTTTGTGCAAAAATAATCGGAAAAAAACCTACGCTCTATCCTTTATAATAATACTTTATATCCAATTTTATCTAATGCAAAAACAGAAACATTTCTAGTAATGCCAAAAGTAGAGGCTTATTTTTTATCAGATATTATTTTCTGTTATTGTGAACATTGCAAAAATGCAATTGTGTATTCTAATGTTTATTGATAATTCTTTATAAGAATAAGCTTCTTGAAAAAGCACTGACTGGCATAAAATATATTATCTTATTATTCTAGGAGAAAGAGATTTTTTCAATAAGTTAGCTACGGCTTGAATGCACTTCTAGAATCGTATCAAAATGAACTGTTCTAGTCTATGCTATACATATGAGATCATGCTACATCAGTTAATATTTTTGTATTTATTCATTCCAGATTCTTTTTTTTTCAAAAAAAATCATCAAGGAGATTCTCTTTTCATGTGTTCGATTAAAGTATAAGATTCTTGTCAGAAAAAGAACATTTTGAAACTCAGCCAATAATCCAATAAACAGAATTTTGGTTGAAGCAGCAAGACTGCTTTTATTCAGAAAAAATCTTCTAGTTCTTCGAAATCAAGATATAATTCCTTGTTACCACAGATTACAAAATTTCTTAGATAATCTAATGAAACGTTTTGGTTTCTTCCTCATAATTTTTATGAACCGATTATAATTTAGTTTTTGCTACTGTTTTATCGTTGCAATTTTCACAGATATTACAAACATAAAAAATGAACATAATAGTTATATGACAAAAGAAGAAATAAAGATATCAGAAAAAGTAATGACATAAAATCATACAGAAATTTAGAACGTTTTTGATGAAAATTTCGCCGATTAGACTATAGATAACTTTGACAAAAACAATATCATGTATTCAAATACAAAACTATACTATTTGTGTAGCATGTGAACGTTAGAACATTCAAACACAAGGATTTACATAGAGATATAAAAAATAAACAATATTTTTTTGTTTTACAACTTTGATCCAGTGATGAGTCTAGCTGTATGATCGTGCGGTGGTTGTCATCGTCTTCCAAATGGAAGTAATAGAGAAATCTTTGAAATAGTCTGTCCTATATCTATTGGTATCAAAGAAGTAAAATTTGAATATCGAGAAAATAAAGTAGGCAGCAAAAGTTTAAGACACTGTTACTAATATGTCACAAGTATACGTGTTCACTATTCACATATAATTTTTTATTTCTTTCTCGTCTCTGTCTCTAGTCTTCTTGTCTTTCTATTATCTTACTATACATATGAATAAATCTTAAATTCATTTTGTTTATTCATTCTTTCTGAAATAAAGATTATGTACGAGTACATTCAGACACATATATATGGGGTTGATTAGTCTGGCCGGATACCCCATTTAGATTTTCTTTATTGTAAGGACAAAACATACCATTGTTCGGGTCATATAAGCGAGAGTAGTAGATAATCCTAGATTGATCGGAACAACCCCATGTTTTATCCTTATAATAGTAGAGAAAAACTACTCACTTTTTGTGTGAGCTAGTAGCTTTTCTTTACTATTATAAGGATAAACCATGGAGTTACTCGTGTCAATCTAGGATTATCTACTACTCTCTCTTATATGGTCCGAACAATAGTATGTTTTGTCCTTACAATAAAGAAAATCTAAATGGGGTATCCGGCCAGACTAATCAACCCCATATATATCGAAGTATAGAGAGGAAAGAAACGGAGAAGAACCATAACAGATACTTCTAGTATCTTGTCGCTTTTATCGTTATCTTAAAGGAAGAACATTTTCTAGAATTTACACTAAGATTCAGAGATTGAAAGGGCTGCATTTTAAGATACAAACTGAATTTGGAGAAAAAATAACGCTCAATTTCTACCAACAACAAGGGTGTCGAGGGTCTAACAAAACAACCCTGTTTAGCAACGGAAGATGGGGATGAGCGGTCTTATCATACATGCTATCACACATCCGACTCATACCAAATCAACGATACCCTTATTTACCTAATGAGGTATTTCGAGTAACTCATTATTACACATACACATGCAGACTGTTCAGACCTTCTATGTTCTCGACAGTGCATCTACTAAATCTTGAACATAACTTATTATTATATTAGCTAGATAGCCTCTTCTATGAAGGATGATGTTAAGGGGTCTTAGCATTATCCATTTATATATGCATATATATGTATATATAAATGAATAATTCTAAAAACCTTTAGTCCTATATATCTATTGGAAATCGAATGCTCATTGTTCTCTTCTAATTTCTGATTGAAATCAAATAGTCCATGGTATGTGGAAGTGAGATGAGTTACAGTGCACGCGTTGGCGACGAGAACACTTACTTTCACCCCAAACTTATTGTTAAAGGTGAAGTGTCATCAGTGATTGAGCAACTCTCGTTGGGAAGCACCCGTCGTGGCCAGAGTCCTGTGCCATGCAGCTGTTGTGGATCCCAATATACTATTTCGTAATTACTGATTTTCGTGACTGGTGTAGTTAACAAAATGCAAATGATTTTATTTATTCATTGAATTTGTTATTTTTGAAAAGAAGTAAATTAAATTAAACTAGCTCTAGATGAAATGAAAATATCTGTGATTCTTTATATAATTCACAAAACTTCAAGTATTTTTTGTCTTCTTTCATATACTTTAATTTTAATGTCTCTCAATTTGAAATTAACCATATAGAGTAGTGTAAGTATGATGTCGCTTGCAAAACTGTTGTTTTACATGTTGTTTATATTATTAAAAAAAACTGTATTTCTCTCATTTCAAAGTATACTTTTTGTCTTTTTCATGCCATCAAAGACACTACATAATAGGAAAAGGTATTTTGAAATTCCCCGATTTTATTGAAATATTTATGCTTGTAAACATTAGAACAGACATAATTTTATATATGATAGAATACATCTGATTAAACGTGTTCAGGGCGCTCTTTGTCTAAAAATTACGAAGTTTCCTAACGGACTTATGCATCATGTGATCTACTTATTTTACATTCTTGTCTTTCTATAAGTTCAGTGTAAATTAAAGTTATTGTGCACCAATGTTCAAACAACTCCAATTTTCAAGAGGTTTTTGAAACAATTAATCCAAGAGCAACGAAACCAAGAAGCATGAAAGGACACAAAGAAGTAAAAATTTACTCAAGGAAAGTTTACCAATGATAATAGAAGAGGAACTGAGGTTTGTTTCAATTCTGCTCAACAAAAAAAAACAAAGAGAAAAACAGTACTTATCGATAACGTCGACAACAATGCTGCTCGATCATAACTAAAAGAAATGTGTTGACCTACACTATTGAGCTATTGTGCATTTATTTCATCATTCTCGCCTTTGAACATCGATTGAATTTTCTACATTGGCTATCAATAATAGAGAAACAAATTTCATGAAATATGTGATATAGTAAACTTTGATATTTCCAATGATGAATTTTCATAGAAAAGAAACTCTTGCAAAGTTTTATCGAAATAATTTCTTTTGACGAAGATAATAAATTCTGATGAAAACATATTGTTTCTATTTCCTTGACATTTTTTCAAAACATGAATTATACTTTTGTTTTTTTCACTTCCATATCTTTACGATTAGAGACAGAGTTGAGCACAGAACAGAAAAGGACAAAAGATGTTGTCATATGCTCATTTCTGATCCCTGTCAATCTAGTTAAATAAATTTACGTTGATACATTCATAACAATGAGAACACAAATTCTTTTGAAAAACATTGAGATTCAACAGTCTATTTGAACATTTTCTTTGGTTTAAATCATTTCGTTTTTATTTATCACTTGTGAAATTTATTGTAAGTACTATATGCTTTTTTTTTGTCAGACGTAGTTTTTGTTAACTATTCTAATTCTTGCGTACGTGTTAATGAAATGAAATGCTTTGGACCTGTCTAGCAAAATGAACCTGCTTCAATTCAATATCCTTTCACATGCACATAGCTTCTGTATTTGATTTCGATCAGACTAAACACGTTTCAAGATGATGAGGGAAAACAATATTGTCAATATTCGTTCGAAAGATGGAGTGGATTAATTTACAAAGACATATTTTAAATGATATTTTAATAAGATTTGTTGAAGAAAAAAAAACCGAATAATTTAAACTAATCATTGTGATTGCAAAGCAAACATATAGAAAAAAGAAGAAACAACAGTATGTGTGCAAATAGAATAAACTAGTTTCTAATAGAGAAAAACTTCTCGATATGCAGCCATTTCTGCGTGTTCTTTCCATCGTTTAAGTTTTTAGATAATTTTTTCCTTCCA